ATCTCTTCCGATCTCCTTCTTTCCCTTCGTCTAACTTTTCAATCAAATCAAATATTAGAACCGAAACTTTCCCACCCTTAATTATTCTATTTTACTTAAGTATAGAGATGGCAAAATGAGTTATGATTGTCTGGTTTGTCAAGAATTGGTGGACTTTGTTAGATATCCTAATTTATTAAATTGTTTAGCCTGTTCCATCTAACTTGTCAATTTGTTGGGCCAAGTGGTAGGTTGGGATGAATTGTGTAATGACCTGCCATAGTCACCACACTCTGTGGAATCACTAACACTAGTAACTGAAGCTAAGTTACTAGAATGCACAAGATTAATAAGAGAAAATATACCATACATATAAGTATCATGAGTATATAAGAAGAAATTACTAGTGCAAAAATTGGATTTAAAATTGGAATTTTAAGATCGGTTATAAGGTAACCGATCTTAAAAGTGATGCAGTGACAATTTTGTAAATAAAACGAACACTTTTATGATCGGTTATTTTATAACCGATTTTAAAAGTATCGTCAGAAACCTTTTATATTTTCCTCCAATCTCATTCTCTTTAATCTTTCCCTCTCCTCGTTTTTCTACTCTCTCAAACGCTCTCATTTTCTAAAGAGGTAAATTTCGTTGTTGTTTTCGTTTTTGTTTTCCTCTTCTTATGTCTCTTTTTATTTTCTCATGCGCTTCTCTTGTTTCTGTTTTCAGGTTCACTTTTGCTAAATTTCGAAGATGGAACGGCCCGTTCTGAAAAGAGAACGGCCCGTACTGAAAGGAGAACGGACCGTTCTGACTCCGTTCTTCAAAAATTCTTTTTTAACAATCTGGAACGGCCCGTTCCAGTTTAATTTTTTTTTCTTCGCCAGAACTTTTAAAATCGGTTATAAGACAACCGATCTTAAAAGTTAACTTTTAAAATCTGTTAAATAATCGATTTTAAAAGTCTAATTTTTAAAATTGGCTCTTTTAAAATCGGTTACGGAACCGATTTTAAAAGTGAAAAATAACCGATTTTAAAAGCTTTTTTTCCACTAGTGAATCAAACAAATATAAACATGATATATATATATATAGTCATCCCAAAATAATCCTACATCCTAGTGCCGGTCAAGCACACTTATACAAGGTACATCAGTAGTACCGCCATAAAAAAATCAAAATCCCTATCTGCATCATCTCCTCAAGCCTAGCCCTGATCTACTCCTATACAATGTATATCATCGCAGTCCAAACCACCATGGAAACAAAAAGGGTAAGCTAGAGTTAAAAAAAAAAAAAATATATATATA